AGGTTGGGGAGGCTAGGAGAGGCTAGAAACAGCTAATTTCCTAAATGCCTCTCTCTCTCTCTCTCTCTCTCTCCTCTCTCTCCCGCTCGGTTAGAAGAGCAAATCAACAGAAAAATGAATAATGAGGAGGAATCACGGCCTCTATGGCCTTTATACTAGGGGTAGGGAGGCTGGGGAGGCTAGGAGAGGCTAGAAACAGCAAAGTCCCTAAATGCCTCTCTCTCTCTCTCTCTCTCTCTCTCTCTCTCTCTCTCTCTCTCTCTCTCTCTCTCTCTCTCTCTCTCTCTCTCTCTCTTTCTCTCTCTCTCTCTCTATCTCTCTCTCTCTCTCTCTCTCTCTCCTCTCTCTCCCGCTCGGTTAGAAGAGCAAATCAGCAGAAAAATGAATAATGAGGAGGAATCACGGCCTCTATGGCCTTTATACTAGGGGTAGGGAGGCTGGGGAGGCTAGGAGGGGCTAGAAACAGCTAAGTTCCTAAATGCCTCTCTCTCTCTCTCTCTCTCTCTCTCTCTCTCTCTCTCTCTCTCTCTCTCTCTCTCTCTCTCTCTCTCTCCTCTCTCTCCCGCTCGGTTAGAAGAGCAAATCAACAGAAAAATGAATAATGAGGAGGAATCACGGCCTCTATGGCCTTTATACTAGGGGTAGGGAGGCTGGGGAGGCTAGGAGAGGCTAGAAACAGCTAAGTCCCTAAATGCCTCTCTCTCTCTAATGGTCCGTATATTGATAAGCCAGAAGAGTACACACATACAAAGAACAATAGCAGGTTGCTAACATGCAAAGGAGCCTAGGCTAACCAATCCCTCTAAGTCACCTACAGCTCAAGAAGAGGCTCCAGGACTGTAAAACAGTCCCCCAGGTATAATTCCTGCCCTATCCCTCCTACAGGTGGGTTCTCTGCAGCAGCCGCCTCCCCTAGTTTGATCATGAGGCCCACGGATTGGGCCCGCTGCAGTGCAACCGACCACCTCTGCCTGAACTGGTGCAGGAACTTCGCGGCATGAAATGATTTTGAGTCGGCGTTGAAGTATCACCGAGCCGCCGTGTCCGCAAGGAGTTTCAGGAACACAGGAACCTCAGCGCAAGGGTAGCCATAGGTGTCTACTGCGAGTGGGAAGAAGCCCACTGTCTCTGGCCGGTTTGCGTAGTGCTTTATCTTCTTGTCTGCCTGCTCCCGGGTTGCCCATCCCCTGCCTTTTAGCGCCTCTGGGTCCCTAGTGCTGATAGGGTCCGTGACTGTCACATCACACACCCACACCGCCCCACTACTTCTGTCCGTCATGGTAAAATCTGCCGTTTGCTCCTCGATGGGGCAGTAGACGTTGGTTTCCCTGTGAACAATGAATCCCGCGTCTTGCGCCATGCTGATGCATGCGTCGCGGAGTTCGTTGTGGGTATTCGTACGGTGTTTGCCCGTGCCGCAGCGGAAGAGGTGGTTGGGGAGGCGCGGGTCTGTGATAGTGGTGTGGTCTGTGCAATCGCACTGCTTTGGAGTGGAGAAGGGGAGACCCAGCCGGAAACAAACGGCATTGCTGAAATGTACCGGGCCTATGCGTCTTGACGTTGCCACTGGTACCGCCGTCAGCCAGTCCCCTGTCTCGTAGCCTGTGAGCGAGTACATCCTCTGTGTGTGACCGTAGAGCGGGTTCAGCTTCATTCGCCTCGTATCCTGGACTTGCACCGCGTACCTAGTACCCTGGACTTTGAGGGCTAACGTGTGCTGCAGCTTGATTTCCGACCGCGAGAGCCGCTCCTTATCGAGTATTTCGCGTGCGTCTATGGGCATGGATGTCTCGCACTCCGTGAGCCAGGAATGGAGCGGGGTGTTGTTGTCACGGGGCAGAATCATGTGGCTGTGTGCTCGTGTCAGCGCGGTGTCTGGTGCTAGCGTGAGTGAGGAAAAGAACAGAGCTGCCTGTGTGAAGCTGGCTACGAAGCCGTAGACGCCTTCGACAAGTGGGTCCGTGATTCCCAGCCCGCCTAGGGATGATGGAAGCGATGCCTGCGCCCACACTCTCGTCTGCTCCGTGCTACAGGTGGGAACTCTAATCCCGCATGATGTCAAGAGCGCGGCTAGAAGGTCTCTTCCCCACTGTGCCCAGGTGTCTCGTGGAAGGAGATTTAGCGGCGTGGTTCTAGCGAGGTAAGCTACTCGTCTAGAAATGCAGCGGGTCAGGAGCAGGGAGGCTACTTGGGGGTCGGCCCGTTCTAAGAGCGGCAGCGGCTTCGCCATTTCATCTAGTTGCCCCGCTAGGAATTTGGCGGCGCCAACTGCCGGCCCCAGGAAGCTGCCGAGTAGGCGTATCCCGTCCTTCGAAAACGGGACCCCTGGTGGCAGCTGGGTTGACTCGTCGCCGTTTGTGCTCCAGGCAGCGCATTTCTGTGGGTTGTGTTTCAGCCCCAGTTGCGCTAGCTTGCTAGTGAAGAGAGTGAAGGCTGCTACAGTGTCCTTGTCGTCCCCCAAAAATGTGATGTCGTCCGCATATGCCAAGCAGAGTACGTGGGGGTGTGCTGCGGCAGTTTCGCGAAGGGCTGGGTGTATCCCAGCTGCAAACAGTAGAGGGCCGAGTGGGTCCCCCTGCCTCACGCCGCGTTCGCTGTTGAGAGGGTCGCTAGCGAAGTTCGAGTCGAGGTACAGCTTCGACGGGTTACCATAAGTAAGCCGGACCAGTGGGAGCAGTGACGAAAGGCTGTTGTCGCGTAACCCGTCAATGATTGCCTGGCGCGAAATGCTGTTGAAGGCATTTGAAATGTCGGTCTGTAACACCACGCAGCTCTCTCTCTCTCTCTCTCTCTCTCTCTCTCTCTCTCTCTCTCTCTCTCTCTCTCTCTCTCTCTTTCTCTCTGCTCCTCCTCGTGATTGTTTTAGAGTCTCTTTGCCAAAAACAGTAGGCTTTTAAGAAGGTAGTTTTTATTAAATCAACCAACACACATAGTAATGCTCTCCTAGCATGCATCACGCCACCGAGTGGCCAACTACATGGGACCGAGGGGGTTGTTGTTCCCCTTTTCTATCCTAGGCCCAAAGCCTATTCCTGCCCTTCACTAGGGCTGGCCTCTTGCCATCGCAAACCCCTAGGGTTGCCCACGGTTTTCGCACTCAAGAGTGCACCGTGCCTAGCGCTCAAGCGCCTATTCCCATGGCCCGCTCCTACACCACCGGAGCGGGTACTTGGCCGCCATGCCCGTTCCTAAGGGCAGGCACTTGCCACGTG